TAATGATGGCGACCAGGTGGATTAGTCTTCTTGAACAAATCAACTAGTTGATCAGCCGAAACAACCAAAAAAAGATGAAGAATGCTCTCCTGAAGGTGATGACGCACAAATGACAATTGATTTGAATATGTTTTGTACACTCATGAAAGACGTTATTGTAAACAATCTGAATAGCATTGCAGTTGTCACAATAAAAGGAGTAATAGACTGGTGAGGAACATTTATATCTTGTAGAAACCAACGAAATCAAAGGAGCTCAGAAGTAGTATCAACAAGTGCTCGATACTCAACCTCAGTACCAGAGCAAGCGATAATTTTTTACTCATTTACTCTGCCAAAAAATAAGAGAGTTACCCAGTTAAAAAAGAAAGCCAATTGTAGATCGTCAGTCAGTAGGGTCACCTGCCTAATCTACATCAGACTAAACCTACAATATCAAGGATGAGTGAGAGGAAAAATGAAGCCCATGAAACAAGGGTCCTTTCACATTATGTAAGATGTGAAGAACAACTACACAGTGAACTGAATGAGGAATAGACATAAACTGACTAACGAGATGCATGACATAGGCAATATCCGCCCTACTAACAGTGAGATAAATGAAGCTCCCAACAAACTGTCGAAAATGTGTAGCATCCGAAAGAAGTTTTCCATCAGTAGGATGGAGTTTGATGTTGGACTCCAAAGGACAATCATTTGTGTTACAATCGGTAAGACCAACACAAGAGCAGATCGAAAGTTCACCAAAAGATGCTTGGAGTAGATCGAAACTTTGTCGAATGATGGCCAGATGAGGAAGAGTCTCAAAAGTTATGATGTGGAGGATCCCTCGTAGGGCAACCATAGAGCATATTATCCTAGGCTAGAAGGATTCACGAGTTTAGGCTCTGATACAATGTAAAAGAAAACAATAAAAAGTGAATATCAATTATATATTACTTTAGTGTGAATACCATATACACTAGGATGTTGATTTATAGTACAAAAGAATAGTGAGGTTTCATAGTGTAACCGATGTGGTACAAACATGTACACATTAACACAACCAATGCAAACCCATAAGTCAGATTTCATTTTTAATTTAAATTTGATTTTGATTGTTATATAAATTTTTATGTCAAGTTTTGATTTTGTTTTTGATTTCAATATTAATTTTGATTTTAATTTTTACTTTCGATTTTATGAAATTTGAATTAGTTTGAATTTTTGATTAGAGTCGACTGGATTGGGTTCTGTTGGTTCTCATGGAATCCATGCAGTGTATACATAAAGAAAAAGAATCGGATAGGGAGTTTGTGTGTATTGTGTACGTGATTGTGTGATTTGTGTATTGATAGAAAGAAAAGCATGGTTATGGGTTTTCTGCTCCGTTTTGTAAGGGTATGTTGTGTATAGGAATGTTAGTAGACCGAAGCGGGGTGGGGGTGTAGTCTTCATCCCCGTTCTCGCTTAGAAAAAAATTCATTTATTTTAAGTCCACCCTCGTTAATGTGTATAATTTTTATCTCCATCCTTATCCGAGGGTAAATTTCTAATCTCGGCCCTGTCTTTGCTTCCCCCGTACCCGCCCAAGCCCAAGCCCAAGCCCAAACTAACATAATCTAAAATTCTAAATAAATCTAACATTTTACATAATCTAACAACATTTTAAATAAAAAAATTATGTAGTTTCCTGGATCTACCATCACAGGTGTCACATCTTACAAATACTAACAAAAAATATGTAGTTTTCTTCTATAACAAACTATGCCTAGGGCTTGAATTCAATCAAGTCCCTCTAGTTCCCAAGCTAAAATAAATTACATAAAAAAAAAAGGTGAAACCTAGTGAACCAGAAATCAGTCCTGTTCTTATTAAAGACCCTTCACTATACCCTTCTTCAAATCATCAGAAGATAAAAGGAATAAGTCTTGAAATCAGAATCCTTGTGCTATGCCTTGACCAAAATTAAAGAAATAGAAGCAATACCAATTGATGACCTTTAGAAACAATCATAATTGCAATTCCTCATCATCGATTACAAAGGGGGGAAGCAACTTTGAAAGCAAAAAGTTACTAGCATGTGAAAAAACCACCTCGAAGGGAAATCTACAAAGAGTCAAAAATTTAGATTTGAGTAAATGAATTTGATTCTAGATTAACATCACTCCAATCCACAACTATAGAAGAAAAATTACAATTAAAGCGACAAAGAAACAAAACACCAACTAATACATACAGATGAGCCTTTCATTCTCAGATGTCAAATAAAAAAATTAAAGAAATCATATTAAAAACCCACCTTTGAAAAAAATATTACACACAAACCCATCTGAAAAGGAAAACATTAGTATTGGTCATACCTACCAGATTGTCGACTGAAGGATGAAGATCTGTGTGTCGAAGAACAAAGTCAAAGATCTGAGAATCGGAGTAGTTCGAGTCTTCGATTGAGCTGCTAAGTGTAGCGATTAGCGATGGAGGTGGGCGGTCGACGATGAGTGTTGTGTCATTGTGTGTGTGTGTGTGTGTGTTAGAGAGAGAGAGAGAGATGACTGACTTGTGACTCATTGAGGAACAATCGACGTTGATAAAGGAAGATCGATGAAGGTGGGTATATATATATCTATATATATATATAAAACGGGTATAGTGGGGACGGGGCGCGGGGCGGGGGTAAGGGCAAGTTTATCCCCGTTTTCATTATCGTACGAGTTTATACGAGTATTTTTGTATACGTCCACCGTCTAATTTGTATAATTCATTCCGAGTTCAAACAGGGCGGATTTAGATGAATATCCATTTTTCTCTAGTCCACTGCTTGGATTTGTGAGATAGAGAAAAAAAGAGAAGAATAGAAAATAGAGGGGAAAGAAATTGTGGGTATGTGTTTAGATTTAAGTTGCCACACAAAATAATAATGTTTGGATGAGAGTGATTTAGAATGATCCAATTGTCCCTAATTGAGGTCACATACATTGCATGTGACATTTTTTTGTTCATGATTTAGATGGCAATTAGTGTGAGAGATTACATCGGTCTAATGTACGAACTTTAATGATTAAATTGAGAAAATTAAAATTTTAAGGGTTCAAAGTAAATTTCAAGAAATATTAGTGCTATTTACCCAAATTAATATTAACAGGAAACATTAATAAGCCAATCATGCCTTTTTTTTAAAGTGGAAACGGACAAATTAGATGGCGTACTAGGAATCTTCCACGGGACCAAGTTTCATTTTTGTATTTCTTTTATCCTCGTGGAGCCATAAGGTTTTTTATGCAATCTTATGTTAGCTTCTTTCTTAAATGTCAATTTGAGCTACCAAACTTTGCCCATTTGGAGAAGCATCCCACGTCCATTCATGCCGCTAATTTTTTTGAGCTAGACATGTAAGGGCGACTGGTTTGACCCTAGGACTTGTTTGGATGTATTTGGGGGAGAGGTTTGAATTAATTTCTTCAAATACTTCTAAACTTAAATTCTACTTTGTAAAGATAGGATTCAACATTTAACTCGGTTAATACTCATGTTTGTTATGCAACACATACATATGTAGGACTCACAAATATATCATAATTTTAACAATTATTTGTCTTATAAATAACTATTTTACCTTTGATCAATTTAATTCATATTTATATTAAGTGGTATAATTGTCTTTTTGATCATTAACCACTTATCCATCTCAAACTCACCCTCCCCTTTTGACGAAATCCATGATTATGAATTTAATTTTCGGGCAAGTTACGGGCTAGATCCAGGACTGAAATTTCTATACAAACATGAAACTTGGGTTTTTTGAACTATTTTTTTTAAACCCTTCTTGCCAAAGGCTCCCTCATACCCCTTTTACCAAACAGCCCTCTAAGGGGTACAAGAAATATCGAACCTGAGATCTCTTGATTGAGAGAGGATATATTAAATCACTAGACCAACCCTAAAGATTTATTCATACAATAATAATCTATCAAAATGATAAAAAAGAATATATTGAATAAAATCTCACGGCGAGAAAATAAATAAAAAAAAAGGTATTTTTTGTTAGCATGAAATTGTTCCGGAGGAAACTCAACAGCAGTTGCAAAGTCTACTAACGATACTGACGAAGGTTTCTTTTCTTTGGGTGTAATCTTCATTGATATCAATAATGTGATTTTGTTTTATGGAGTAATATTGATTGTTTCTAATACAATTATTTTCAATTTCATTTATTATAAAATAAAAAAAAGTTTAAAAGTTATAAACGAAATCATATTATTAGGTCTGTCAATTATGTCGAGTTCTAACCGAATCGTGTTAAAAAGTTCTCTCTTTATATTCGATTTTAAAGAGTTGTGTCATACTGAGTTTATGTCGTGTATAAATTATGTATAATTGATGTATATTTTTAATTTTTTTCATTTATACCTGATTCGTTAATTGATCGACTAATTTTGAAATTTTTTGTATTTAAGTAATCAAATATTCGGTGGTTGGAGTAGAGTTGCCTAGCTGAGACAAGCTTGTAACAACATTTATTCTTTGGGCTTTTCACACTTTATACCTTAAACAACTTTAAAATTTTTATTTTGAATCATCTTAAGATTAAATTTTTTATATTATACCCTCAATGTATCAAAAGTGTTACAATATAACTCTTCTATTAGCTTATGTTATTTTTTTTTTTTATCAAAAGTCAACTCTTTGATGCTAACAAAAAAATTAATGAAATTCTAAAAAAAGAGTTATATTGTAATACTTTTGATATATCAGGGTTATAATGTGAGAAATTTAACTTTTAAGTATAAAGTGAGAATCTCAAAATTTTTGGGGTACAAAATACAATTCGTCCTTATTCTTTCGGCGAAAACAAAATCAATTTTGTACTAAAAAGTAAAAACACAACTTCTTTTGCTTTTTCCAATCCGTCCCATGCACGGTTTTGTGCTAGTATCACTCCACTCCATGTACTTACTTCTAACTAAGTCCCAGCCTTTCATGTTCCAGCTCAAACGCAGGCTCCGAGACTCTCTTGATCAATGGCGGCCGATGTTGAAACACCGGCGAGTTGTCAGACAATTAGAAAGCGAAAAAGAGAGAAGGATCATCCAAAACTTCTCATTGATGGAAAAGTTGAAGTAATTAAGCTAACTTACAGTCTTCTCTTTTTGGCTTTTTCGTCACATTGATCAATGCATATATATAAATGTATCTTGCATTCATTTCCAGGTTTGTGGGTTCTGTTATTTCTGGGTTTTGGGTTTTTATGTGTCTTTTCTATTTTTCGTTACCGACTGTATTTCTTTACCATTGTTGTCGGGGTTCTCCGTTATGTTTTGTGTTTGTATATCAGTTTTTCGTTCTATTGCACAATTCCCATGGTTTAACTTCCTTTAATTTCAGTTGCATTGTGTTCTTTTATACTCTCTCTTTGTTGTTACCTATTGATGGTTTCATGGTGGTGTTGTTAGTTTCTGCGATGATTAATTTTTGATATTGTTGATCTAATCAGTTTATTGGTTTCAATCTAAGCTTTCTTTTTTGGGTTTTATTTATAGTGTATATCCAATGCTTAATTTGGGTTCTTCTGGATAAATGGTTTTTGGGTCTGATCATTTTCTTTCCCTTTCTGATCTATAGTTGCATGTACCTGACCAAAAAAAAATCTATAGTTGCAAGTGGTGTTTTCTTTGGGGTTTTATGCCTAAATAAGCATAAAGGTTGCAAAAAAATACTTTTCTTTTGGCGGTTCAATATTTTAAGATTTTGCTTCTTTGTTGTGAAATTTCTGCAGGTGAGAAGTTTTGAAGAGGGGTTTCAAGGGTCATGGCACACTGCAACTGTAATTGACTGCAAAAATTTGGTTCGTCATGTCCAATACGACCATCTATTATGTGATGATGGTTCTGAGAAACTGACTGAATATGTTAAAGTAAGTCCCATGCTTGATGGTGCCTTTACCGCCAATGGGACACTGCCTTATTGTCGCGGCTTTATAAGGCCGTTGGCACCTCCCCTTGACCTTGGGAAATGGTGTCCCCATTATGGACAGTGTGTTGATATGTTTCACCAGGAGGCTTGGTGGGAAGGTGTGATTTTCGACCATGCAGATGGTTCTGAGGAGCGAAAAATTTTCTTCCCAGATATGGGTGACGAATTGAATGCTCAGATTGAGATGTTACGGATTACTCAAGACTGGGATGAGGGTACCGGAGAATGGAAGCCTCGAGGGAATTGGTTGTTTCTTGAGCTGATTGAGGAACTTGAGCAAGAGTGGCCCCTTCTTGTTTCTGTGAAGCAAATTTGGTATGAAGTGCAAGTAAAGAATGGTTTTCAGAATCTCAAGGAATGGACTTGTTCTGGGAGGGATACGTGGAGGGACTTGGTGTTGCAGGTTATTATGGATAATTTTAAGTTAACTTGTAAGGAATTTTTCCACCAACTGAAATCTTCAGTGGGCTTGGGACAAGAAAGCCAGCTATTACTGGAACTACCTTACTCTACTCTTGATAGTATACTGAATCCTGAAGCATATTTTGGTAACGCTCTTGGAGTTGTCCCCTTTGAAACTACTTCTCAATTGGATAGAGATTGTATGCAGCCTAATGATTTAAAAGATACTAGTCTTCAACCTGTTGAGAAGGAAATTAATCGGGATTTGGCATATGCAATGGAGGATGATAGGTGGGATAGGAATCTACCGATTAGCTCAATTGTTCCTAGCCCAGAAGAAGCTCTATGTGCGCCACCTTCGGCTTTGTTGATTTCACCTACTAATTCTGATGAATATTTGAGGATCCTTTCCAGTGGAAACAGTGAAGCGTTTTCTTGTATGAGTTCTAAAGACCCCAGTGGGAAGATCAAACATTCCACAAAAAGAAATAGAATCAAGTGGCTTCCTGCTAGCCGTGACATGCTTCCTGAAGCTGAATTTTGCCCTGATGCAATTGGTGAATACATCAACGATTCTAGTTTCAAGAAGAAGGCTTCAACATCAAATGCTAGGAAGCATCTCTTATATTTGGGATGGAAAATTGAGTATGCGAGAGATATCAGTATCACAAGAAATCTCACAAGACTGCGTTACGTTACACCTGATGGGAAGAAGTCTTATCAGTCACTTCGTCAGGCCTGTCAAAGTTTGATTGAACATGGTTCTGCTCTGATCCCCCAAGATGATGAAAGAAATTTAGTTGCTGCACCTGATGGTCCATACCCATCATCACACACTGAACAACCACAAGTGTGCAAGGAGGCACCTGAGGCGCCTTCTCATTCTTATGACGTTGGCAATCCTGAATACTGCCCTCAAGCTGTAGTGGACTATTATCTGCTTGGATTACAGGACCAAGATGCCTATCGCAGTGGCAAGAGAGATGCTAAACTTCGGGATATGTCACTTAAAGCAATGAAGCACCTCTCTGCCGTCGGGTGGTCATTCCACTATGGCTGGAGGAGAGGCAAGAGGGAATTGCGCTACAGTTCTCCTAGTGGAAGAATTATTCATAGTCTTCGAACGGCCTGCAAATTCCATATAAATAAAAGGGGACTCTCTAATAGCAATGCTTGTACCCCTGAACGAAGGCAAAATATTATTTTCAGCAAGGAAGCCAAGGGCCAGTTAGCTATTGATGGATCATGTCCTCCACCAATAGAGATTCAGGGAAGTCTGATATCCTGGGATGCAGTCCCTGAAAAGCAGCAAACAAAATCTGCTAATATATCAGTGTCAAGGGAACTTGTTGAACTGGGTAAAGCGACAAGAGATGGAGTACATGCTGCTTCTTGGTCATATACGACAAATACTCAAATTGGTTGTTCAGCATTGCCGAGGACAGTAGCGGAATCTAACACTTTGATCAAGCTAAGAAAAAATATGGATGTTGATTTTTCTACACGTGTGCTGCGATCAAGCAAAATAGCGCGGAAAGTGGTTCCGTCTTCCTCTCACCACACCCCTAGAACTGTCTTGTCTTGGTTAATAGACAATAACGTTGTTTTGCCTGAGGCAAAAGTATATTACCGTGGCAGAAAGGGTGGTCATCCAATGGCAGAAGGGCTAATTACTCGTGATGGAATCAAGTGCAATTGTTGTCAAGTAGTTTTTACTCTCAGTAACTTTGAAGCTCATGCTGGCAGCACCAATCGCAGGCCTTCAGCGAATATTTTTTTGGAGGATGGCAGGTCTCTCCTGGATTGCCAAGTTCAATTGAAATGTAACAATAGCATGAGACGCGGAAGGACAAGACCACGTGAGATGAAGGGTAATCAGCATCACAGCACAAATGATAATATATGTTCGGTTTGTCACTATGGTGGTGAATTAGTTTTGTGTGATCAGTGTCCATCTTCATTTCATTTAAGTTGCCTTGGTTTGAAGGTTTGTTCTTTTTTATTTGCACGACAAACTTTGTTTCATACTTCGTTTCTTTTTTAATTCCCCCTTTTTCAATGTAGTTATCAATGACAGTCTACGACCCTTATTCGAACTGCTTTTTGTTCCTCATGTAGGATGTTCCAGTGGGTGACTGGTTCTGCCCATCATGCTGTTGTGGCATTTGTGGGCAAAGCAGATTCACCAAAGACATTGGGCAATTTACTGATAATAGTGCTCTCAATTGTGATCAGTGTGAGCATCAATGTATGTCATCTGAATCTGTTTATTGCTGTCTTGTTTTATGCACACATGCATGTCATCTAATAAATATACAAATACATCTGCATTTCCATTGATAAGTTCCTAATGTATGGTCAACTTAATGCAGATCACATTGGCTGCCTAAGGACAAAAGGTCTTGCAAACCTGGATTGTTTTCCAAAGGAAAATTGGTTCTGTAATGAAAGATGTGAACAGGTATCTCAGATGAACCTTTCGTTCTTTAGTAACATTATGAAATTAAAATTTCAAAGGTACTGACTTTTGCTGTTATTGGTATATTGCAAAACTCAAGGTGTTCCTTCAGAGGCATGACTTTTAATCTTCATCCCATTCAAACATCATAACCATTTTGACAACCTTTTTGACCTGCATGAGTCATGTGTTTTTATGAACGGATATGGACTTAACTCTTCCTAAAAAGTCATGAGTCATGTGTTTTTATGAACGTATATGGATTTAACTCTTCCTAAAATGAAAAGGGAGCTTCTTTCCTTCTGTTTTCTGTTCTGGAAACTCTCTCTCTCTCTCCCTCTCTCATGCCTCTATAGCATTTTTAGTTGTGAGGAACCAATGCTTTCAGGTAAGGTGAAATTTCTTTGATATGGGTGTATGTTATAATTGCGGGCTTTTTCTTGGGAACCAGGATTATATGTTATGTGATTTATGTGGTGTTGGTTGCAATGCAATACTATAAACCTCAAGGTTCAATAGAGTTGCAGAAGCCAAAGTTGAAAGATTAATTCTTGGATTTTCAAGTCATTGAACAAAGGTCGACAACATTTTGCAACAGGGAAATTAGCAATTAAGTAGTTCTATCTGCTTTTGTTCAATATGAAGCCTTTAAATTAAACCCAAAACTTCTACAGTGATCAAGGCTTCACAAAAAAAACTTTGAAATCCTTCGTTCACTAGTTCTCTCTAGATAGGTGTTTTTCTTTGCATTCTTGTGCGTTAGGGTTGTCTCTCTCATTGGTAAAGATATTGTTATTGTTCTTAAGGCGCAAACATTTGGAGCAGAGTCACTTATGGCCTCTGAAGAATTCTCCCCTTGCACTTACTTGCTCGCAATGTTATCTATCAGTTACATGATTTCTAACCAGATTAGCGTTATCTTTGTTGGATAATTTTGTAAGGTACCTATCATCTATGTGATTTAGGTGATTGACATAACCTTTAGGGATAGCAAACGTGATAATAGTTGAAGATTCATATCCAAATTTAGTCTTTGGTACATATCCTTCAGTAAAATTCTTGAAGGCTGACTATTCTTGTCAAATGCGAGTTTTTGGCAAGTTTTATTTTCTATAAAATTCAAGAAATGTCAAATATGCATGCCGGAATATCTGATTTTGCTTGCAGGTGATGTGTGGTAGTGTTATATCGTGAGAAATATAACATTAATCTATCTAATTTTGTTGCATAAGCTTTCAGATGTACCTCTTGACACAATATTGTATGTGATTTTTTACATGCGTGTACCATGTTTGCAGATATTTTTGGGCCTGCACAGGCTTTTGGGTAAACCAGTTGCATTGGGGTTAGAAAATCTAACTTGGACTTTGATGAAAGATTGGAGATCTGATTGTTGTGATTATGATGCCTCTGATATTGAGGCCTCGATGGAGAACTACAGCAAATTAAATGTTGCTCTTGGTGTGATGCACGAGTGTTTTGAGCCTTTAAAGGAACCTCGGACCAGGCGGGATCTTGTTGAAGACGTAATTTTTAGTAGATGGTGAGATTTCTTGACGATCTTTATTGGTGTAGGGACGCTACATTGTTTATTTTGCCAAAATCACCTCATAATTTTTGGAAATTGTGCATAAATAAATTTTCCAGCAGTATTCTTTACCCATTTTATGGACCAAGGAAGATAATCTTTGGTCAAGAATTCTCACAATTTCTTAGATTCATAGACCCAATTCAATTCGGTTGAATCTTTCAATTCAATTCAATCGTGAAATATCTATTGCTTGTTGAACCCCCGCGTTTGGAGTATCCTACTTTCACGCAATTCACAGGGTTCAATAAGCAATCGATATTTCACGATCAAGGGTGTAATACTCTTTGTATTAGCAGTCCTTATATATCGTATTAACAATCGAAAGATGGTTGAAAGAAAAAATCTCTATTTGATAGGGTTTCTTCCTATACCTATAAATTCCATTATATGGTAACTATGCTATCAGTCTCTATGCTACTGGCTCGTGACTGCATTGTTAACTTGAGTTTTGTGTACTGATGCCTTTCATGATTTTGGTCTTCTTACACCCAAATTACACATGGCATAATCTATAACTATGTTTCTATATAGCAGGAGCTTGATTGCTTATTCCGTGTTTTATTCTGCTGTGTAGTTAACTTTGTTTATTTCTTGTTCTTTGATTTTAAATTAGGTGAAGTAATACCAGCACCCATGCTGTTTCTTCTTGGTAGCCCATCTTTATTTTGTTTCTGTTTCTTCCATTTTAGTTTCTTAGATATTATTTCTCTTTTATTTTACCATCTGGAGCTATGTTACATGGACTTGGTAAAGTATTGGGTTTGTCAAATTTCCCACTAAATGACATAGGGCCATGCCTGAATGCTCATAGTTTTTGTAGTTGTCTTGAAATTCTATAGGAAAAATGGTGTTTTTATGTTGCATACTGAATTCAGAATAGTTGTTCTACACGTGTGAAAGAAACCATCAATGCAATAAAAGCATCATGACAGAGGAATTCTATATATAATTTTCCATGGTTAGCGATTACTAGAAATCCTCGCTGCTGCATGTCCAATTAGACACGTTGAACATGTCCTGATGCACATATACCTGTGTTGTGCATCTGACAGGGGTGCTTAACACCTTTAGAAGGCCATGTTACATATTTTGTGTGAAGACTTGCTTTTTTTACTCTGCCTTCTTCTACTGAAATTCTTAGGTGGAATACTCTTTTTTTTTGGGAAAAAACATCTTACACATTTGGTCTTCTCATGCAAGGTTTCCATTGATCTGATCCCTGTGCCATTTTTGGATTCTTTCTCTTTCCATTTCTGCTGCTGCCTTTCCATGTTTACTTCATCTTCCCTTCAAGTCCTCTTTCTATGTCTTCAGATTCCATGCACTATATTGTCTGCTGTTTGTTTACCATGGCATGGACTGTAAACATTACTCACTGCATTACAAGGTGTCCAGATATACAATGCACTTAAGACGTGGTTGATTGCTGAGTGCTGAGTATCATCTCCTTTGCTAAGTGATTGAATGAACTTTTCCAGATCTTATGTTGGTTTTGATCCGATATGCATGCTGCAAATATTTGTCCATATGTAATTGTGTGGGTGATTTCTGTCATGTCTACTCCCAGTAACTCTTTGATGTTATTCATTGCTTAAATGGTGTTATGAGACCTTTGTGTTCATAACTAGTTCCTTAGAGTATTATCATGTTGTGTTTTTTTGGCTGCAAGCCTATGGTAATGGTTTCAAATTTGCAGGTCGGAGCTAAATCGTTTAAACTTCCGAGGGTTCTATACAGTGATTTTAGAGAAAAATGATGAACTCATTACAGTGGCTACTGTAAGGTATTATACATTGCAGTTCTAGCTCAGCTATTTGTGTTCTGCCTCTTCTGTCAGATTAGGGTAATATAAAATGCTTCACTTTCAAAATTCCCTTCTTTCTGTTTAAGGGTGTATGGAGAAAAGGTGGCCGAAGTACCCCTTATTGGTACACGGTTTCAATATCGCCGACTTGGAATGTGCCGCATTTTGATGAACGAGCTTGAAAAGGTAGAGTGTTGTATGTTTTTGTTCTTGTGCAAGCTATTATTACCATTTCCCATATTTGGTTGGGTGTGGGTTTAAACTTTTGTTCGTACTTCTTTGGCCAGGGTGTGGGGTAATTGAAAGGAACTGTTTTAGGAAATTCAGAATGTCTTGAGCTATTTTTGTTTGCATTCTTGAAAGTGCAAATAATGTCTTGGGAAATGCAAATTTTTGGGACATAAGTTAGCTGCCCAATCAAAACTCCCTCTATCTCTATGTAACCAATGAAAGCCTCAGTTCCAAGGGTTTATGTCTTTGTGCGTGAACCATCTGTCAAGGGTTCTGTCATGAGTTCTTCAAGTCCATGTAAGGGGTTTGTCAAACCATTGTGTTGTTTGTTCAACAGAAAACACAGGATTTTAACGCCAAGGTTCACCTGAATCTTCCACAAATGGCAATGGCAAAATGTTATCTACTGCAGATGGAGAGGAAAACGAGAAAAATTCTAAAACAACCAGAATACCCTGACGATAACTCTAAAATTGTTGTTTGAAAGGGAAATTTTTTGTCCAATAATTTTGGGGATCTTGCTATTGCCACCCTATTTTAGGGGGTGTTAGAAATCTCATATATTTGTTGCTAATATGTAAATGTAATTAAGAAGCCTTTTAGTATTTTTTATTTTTGATCCATGATCCTCATCAGTCACCTGAACAACCTAAACTTCTTGTCATCTGATGTTAACTGTCCAAGTTGGAATAGAAAATGGAGAGATTGTTCTTTATGATGATCCAAAGAATCCACTTTTGCACTAAGTCTCATTTATTTTGTTCATTCTCTTGGATTGGAGTCGGCCTCCTTTTGCTTTAGTTTCTTTTTCTCTTGAGGGCGGGGGTGGGTGGGAGGAGCTTAACCGAATGGATTCACTTGAGATGAATGTGAGTGAAAAGGGATACTCAAACTAAGAGTAGAGTCCCGTATATATAGCCAAATAATAATAATATAAAGTGACCTAAATATCCTTGTAGTTCAGGCAAAATATAAAAGTCATAGTAAGGGTAAAAAGGGAAAAAAAATCCTAATAAACTAGACTATATTCCAACACTCCCCCTCAAGGTAGGCGCAAAAATATCAACTAAGTCAAGCTTGACAACCGAGTCCCGAAAAATGGATAGAGTGATAGGTTTGGTGAAAACATCGGCAACCTGATCACTGGTCCCCCACAAACAATGGAGTCACAATACCACAACGAACCTTCTCCCGAAGAAAGTGAACATCAATCTCTATATGCTTCGTCCTCTCATGTAATACAGAGTCAAAAACGAGCTGAATAGCAGATCAATTATCACAATATAATGTAGATGAAAAAGTCACTGGAAATCCCAACTCGCCAAGAATCGATCGTAGTCAGATAATCTCACATGTGCCAAGCAAGCGCCAGTGCCCGATACTCTGCCTCTGCTGACGAACGAGAGACAACTGCCTGTTTCTTGCTCTTTCAAAAGATAAGATGAGTCCCTCAAAAAGCACAGAAGCCCGTAGTAGATCGACCATCACATGTTTTTCCATAATCTGAATCTGAATAACAGGCTAGAGTACCAATCTAAGATCCTGATGCATAAAATAATCCAAGTTTAGGACAAGACTTGAGGTACCGAAGAATATGATAAACTGCATCAAGATGAGGCTGACACGGCCTGTGCATGCACTGACTAACTCAGCTGACAGCAAATGAAATGTCTGGTCTAGTATTGGTTAGATAAATAAGTTTACGTACCAACCTCTGATAGACAGTCAGATCTCTCAATTCCTCACCGTCAGCAGTTAAGGCTGTTACACGAGCCAAACTTGAACATTTTTTAAAACTCGTTTATGTGTAAATAGTCAAACGAGGCAGCTAGTTTATGTGTAAATTTAACTCGATTTAGGCTCGAATTCAGCTCGATTAACACCCCTATCAGCAGTAAGCTTCAGGTTTGGAATCATGGGTGATGATGCCGGTTTACATTTGAGCATTCCAGTGTCTGAGAGAAGATTTAGGACATACTTTCTCTGAGAAAGAACAATACCCCTGCTGCTACAGGCCACCTCAATCCTAAGAAAGTATCGCAAAAATTAAAGGTCCTTCACATCGAAGGCCTTTCCAAGGTCTATCTTGACCTGCACAGTCCTAGAAACATCATCTTCAGTAATAATAATATCATCAACATATACAAAAAGGATGACACACTGTCCAAAATATTCTGTCGAGTGAAGCAGGTATGATCAGAATGACATCTGGTGAACCTTAAACGTATAACTACACCACTAAAGCGAAAGAATTAGGCTTGTAGTGACTGTTTCAGTTCATATAAAGACTTACGCAGTCGACATACCTTTCCAGCATACTCCCTCTCACCACGAAAGTCCGATAGTGTATTCATATAAATAATCTCGTTCAGATCACCGTGAAGAAATGCATTCTTCACATTCAATTGATGAAGAGGCCAAGAGTACTCCGCAGCCAGAGAAATAATCAATCGAACAGTAGTTAATTTTGCCACGGGGGCAAAGGTAGCACCAAAATCACGACCTAGTACCTAAGTAAAGCCCTTCGCCACAAGTCTAGTCTAGCCTTGTGACGATCAATAGTACCATCTACAAGAAACTTTAGGGTGTAAACCCAGTGACAACCAACAGTCTTCATCCCGGAAGGTAAAGAGACAAAATTCCACGTATGATTACGCTGAAGAGCGTCCATCTCCGTCTGCATGACATTAACACCCTGGGGCTCTCGTATAGCCTCTAAAACAGAGCGAGGAACTGGCGGATCTGATAATGCCATACTATAAGCTCGAAATGTAAGAGATAGATCATCATAAGAAACATAAACAGAGATCGGATATAAAGTCCTAGCAGTCCAACCATAACGAACAATTGGACAACGATTACGCCGTTGATAATGACGCCCTAAATTATCATCCTCCACTGACAATGTCGTATCAGGTAAAGTAACTAGTTCAGTACCTGTAATCTCATCAGTAATAACAACAGGTAGATCAATATGCTCAACGAACTGAGAAGTATTACCTGCATCGCCTGAGGTAAAGGGGACATCAGCAGGGGGTGAGAGCGAGGGCGGCGAACATAAACCTGCAAAGGAAGAGAGACTGGTGACTCTGTACTGATAGGGAGGAGGAGAGACTGATGACTCTGTAGTGATAGTGACCAATGGTTCTGGCTCCTGTGATAACAGAAAATTAAAAGGAGTATCGTCAACTGGAGGGGCAGACACAGCACTGGAAGAACAATAAGGAATATGTTCAAGGAAGGTAACATCTAAACTATGAGACATACGACGCCTAACCAGATCATAACACCAATACCCCTTAGACTGATGACAATAGCCCACAAAGACACAACGAATCGTTTTATCATCAAGCTTATGGCGAGCAGGAGACCGATCCTGAACAAAACATATGCAACCAAAAACACAAGGTGGGACTAGAAAAAGTGTCCACTCAAGGAATAAGACCTGTAAGGGAGCCCTATGTTGAAGAACACGACTCGGTGTACGATTACATAAAAAGGTAGAAGTTAAAACAGCAAAATGCCAATAAGATTTTGGTATCCTTATTAGATTCTTATTTTTCCTTTCAGTAACTCCATTTTGCTCGAGAGTATATGGACAAGTGAGCTGCTGAAGGATACCCTGAGAAGAAAAGTGAGACACTAAGGCATCAGACACATATTCTTTGGCATTATCCGAACGAAGAGCACGAACAATGACATCGAATTGTGTCTTAATCATCTGGAGAAATTGAGTGATGACAGGGAGTACATTCAACTTCCTATGCAAAAGGTAGACCCAAGTACAACGGGTATAGTCATCTATAAATGTCACATAATATCGAGCACCTGACAGAGCAGTAACAAGAGAGGGTCCCCAAATATCAGAGTATATTAGGTCAAATGGTTTGGGTGACTGATGCATGCGAGGAATATAACTGGTTCAAACATGTTTTGATAGGAAACATATAACACAGTCAAGTTTACTACTAACACAAGCTTTGCTCAAAGCAGGAAATAACATACATAAATATTTAAAATTTGTATGTCCAAAACAGTTATGCCACAACTGAATAGTTTGTGATGAAAAATCATAACGACAAGTATTAGGTAAAATACTAGCATGCAAGCTAGGAACAGATACAGACAACCAGGTGATGAAAGTGGAGATAAAGAAATTGGTGAAACCGGAGGTGGATCGCCTAGATAATATAATTCATCTCTCTTATGTCCCCTGATAATAATTCTCCTGGTACTCAAGTCCTGCAAATAATACGAATCAGATAAGAACACAATTGTATAGTAAAAATGTCTAGCTAACTGATGTACAGATAATAGATTCATGTCCAGCTTTGGCGCATGAAACACCGAACGTAATGTAAAGTCATTTAGAAGGCGGACTGTACCGCTACTAACAATAGGGGTATGTGTACCATTTGCTAACTAAACTTAAGTATGTAACTGCTCGTCAAAAGAGGTGAAATGATGGGCCTCACTTGTCATATGACCATTCACACCCGAGTCTAGCATCCAAAGGGGAGACGGACTGGCGCAAGTATGAAAGGCACGTGGTATACCTGTTGCAGTCGAACCTTGAGAAGTCAGGGCTGACATAAGTATATCCAAGTGAGAAGTGATAGCATCCATATCACTCTGCTAAGGAGGAGCAGTAATAGTAGTAGTAGGAGCAATGACTATAGATGGTGGTGCCTCAGCAATGACAACAGTACGGCTACAAGGAGGCGGCTTAAGCTTTGGATGGAGCTTCCAACAAACAGTCCTGAGATGTCCTAGTTGGCTACAATAATCACACTGACGAGAATTCCTATGTCTACGCTGATGTGGGGTACCCTAACGGCGTTGGGCCGAGCGCTGTCGACCCCTATATCCGATAAAAGTACTAACAGATGTCTCAACGGTAGGGGTCTCAACTCCTTCAGTAGTAGGCATATCAACAATAATACTAGGGCACCCGTGACAGAAAAATAACTTTAAGATAAATAGAGAAATAAAATAAGGGAGAACAATATACCTTCAGTCAAACAGTAGCGACAAATAAAGAAGGTCCAGAAAGCTTCCAAATAATCAGGTCACGGTGCCCAGAAATCCAAAATATATAAATAAGCGATCTACTGTATCAAGGGCAGATCAACAGAAAAGAGGATTCAACCCCTCTTAAAAGATCCTAGAAGCTGCAACTCCAGGAAAAAAGGTCGTGACGCAAAGAGATGGCGGCACTGCAATGAAGAGCGCGACGTACGAAAGCGCAAGAAGACGGGACAACTGTTATGATCTGAACAAAATTGAGCAGTGGGTTTGTTATCTGGGTTTTATGGTCTGGGTTTGGATTTGCGGGTAGTGAGCTAGTTTGTCGGTGTAGGCAGTTGGTGGGTTGAGGTGGGCAGTCAGTTGGTTTTGGGCAGTCGACTGGTTTTGGATATGAGTTGTTGGCTGGGTTTTGGATGTGAATTGTTGGAGTTGAGTTGAGTGGGTTTGTCGGGTAGCTGATATGTGGGTTCTGTCGGTGGGGCTGCTTGTTTGTTATGGGATTTGTTGGTGCTGTCAGTCGGTTGGTTGTTTCGCTAGATGCTATCAGTCGGTTGGGTGTTTCGGTTGTATGGGGAGTTGGTTTATGTGGCTGTCGGTAGAGCTGCTAGTTTAATGGAGTGGAGGCAGTCGGCAGTCGGTGGATGATGGGCTGACTGTGTACTGGTCGGTGGAGTTGTTGGTTTAATGGAGTGGAGGCAGTCGGCAATCGTCTTGCTGGCTGCGATGTTTGGCGGAGGTTTGGCAGAGGCTAGGGTTAGGGTTATAGTTGGTGGCTCTGATACCAACTATAGATGAATGTGAGTGAAAAGGGATACTCAAACTAAGATTAGAGCCCTGTATATATAGTCAAATAATAATAATACAAAATGACCTAAATATCCTTGTAGTCTAGGCAAAATATAAAAGTCATAGTAAGGGTAAAAGGGAAAAGAAATCTTAATAAACTAGACTATACTCCAACAGATTCAAATAAAATACTTTGGTGGTTGGGTCTTCACGTCATTTGTTTCTTGCGTGAGGTTTCAAAACCTAACAAATGGTATAAATCCAGTCTTGTTCATTTGATATAGACATTTATAATTTTCTCTGTGTCTGTGTGAGATGGAGAACAGTTCATTGATCATTGTAGTTATTCTTTGGCTTCTGCAGAATGGTAGCAGGTCTCCTTTGAAGTTTTTGTATTGGAAGACTCCCATCATTAGTACACCAGGGTGTAAATGCTCATATTTTTTTTCTGAACGAAGTGTAAATGTTAATATTAAATTGTTAGGTTTTCTTGTCATTGTTGTTCAAGTGTCCTCTGTATTTCAGCCACACCTAACTTGTGGTGCGCTAATGGATGTTTGCCTCTGGGAGCTTTGTGTTATCCCTGTATTAACTATTAAGCTTTACAATTAGATACATTACTGGTACCAGGGGGGCATTATAATTGGTTAATTAGTGAATAATGCAATGTGAAATTCATAGGCAAGGGAAAGGTATGTTTGACTCACTTGGTGATTGACACAAGTGAGAGGGGGTGGTGATCTATCCATTTGTTATATCATCACAACATCAAAGTACACTTATGTTTTGCAGAGTTCTCACTATTTTTTTTTTCCACATTTGCTTCAGAAGCTCAAGGAATTGGGTGTGGGGACGCTAGTTTTGCCTGCTGTTCCTAGCGTGCTGAACACTTGGACCACTTCATTTGGGTATTCAATAATGACGGAGTCTGAGAGATTAAACTTTCTAGACTACCCTTTCCTCGATTTCCAGGGTACTGTCATGTGCCAGAAACTCTTAATGGAAATCCCTTCCAGAGAATTAAGCCTATTGAAAGGTATAATTTATGTCCCCTTAGCTGCTTTAGGGAATGGCTGCTATTCAATGGACATACTGATGTTTATATGTCTTTATGCAGGAACCAAGCCAAAACTATGTGATGCAATCAGTGAAAACAATATTGTTGGTTTGGATGGGAACAGCGCTGTCTCTGAAGGTTTTCAGGCTGACCCAATTGAAGAGAGCCAAATTCTTGAAAAAGGACGTATGGAGTATGTCTCCTCTCTTTGGCTATATATAGGAGATTGTTGAGGAAAGAATAATGCCAGGAGCTAAAAAAATTCGTTAGTTAAGATAATTAGGAGTACTACAAAATGGTAGTCAAATAATGCTCCCTAGTGAGACAATTGTTTGATTATGCAATTATACTTTCTCATTATTGAATATTAAAATTAGGAGTATAAACTCAATTGCCCTGGCAAAGGGCAAGGGATAAAATATTACAATGTTGACAACATAGTGTTCTAAACTGTTTAAACAATTAGTTGAAATATGCCATTTTATCAAACAAATGATGAAAAATGCTCAAAGAAAAGTTTTAATAAAACATATAGCATTGAGTAGGAAAAGAGAACATTGTTTCCATGAAGCAAATGTTGCCAGTTTCATATCCCGTTGGGTTACTCATAAAAAACTTAGCAATTCCTCCCTCTAGTTGGACTTGGTGTTTTCCTTCCTCATTTACAGATCTTAAAACCTTAGTTGACATACATTTTATGTTTATTACATCATCACATAGGAGGTTAGCTATAGAGGCTGGGAGAAACTTACACTCTTTTAAAGCATTTGAATCAGACAAAAGGCCTGATTGCAATGATTGGATTTCTGAGCGTGGGAATTGCTCATGTATACCTCTTGTATGTGGTTGATTACAAACTCCTCCATTGTTAAGATGTACCCGAAATTTCATTCATTTTGTGAAACCGACAATAAACAATACCTAAGATACCGTTATTTTTGGTGGAATTTTAGGCCACCTTTTGTTAAGCTTTTTTCTCCTACCTGATTTGAGCAGAGTTTCACAGTGCTTGATCATTAACTGACCACTGTGGTTTGTGCCAGTATTGCTGGCGGCAAGGGCAATGACAGAGGCAATGGCACAGCTCCTTTGGTTATTATGGTACCCACACACTCCTTGGAACAGTTTTGATCTTCATTTGATTTCTCTCATTGGTGTATATTTTTTCATCGAGATGTTGACTCATTCCATGTACACAGGCGAACCAAGCAACTCCAGTTGAATGTATGCCGTGCCCAAGTGAAGTCAGTGTAGGCTGCTCAGTCGAAGCTGTTGATCAGAAGGAAGGTGAACACATAGGTAATGGAATGTTTAAATGCTATATCTGCTTGTGATAGCTGAAGGTGCTCCTAACAAAGGTGTATATAAGTTAATAATGGTAATGACCTTGACAGTAAGATGAAAATTAGGGACAAGTATCTTTTTGAGCCAGTTGTTTCTGGCACCTAAGTGCTTAAATTTTGCCGAATGAGGCACATATTTCTTCCTTGTATATATGGGAGGCAGATGGGGAAATCGGTCTCGGGCTCGTGTTGAGTTCATGTACCAATTGTATAGCTTTGGATGCAAATCGGGCTCTTTTGGCAAAAATGTTGGCACGAAGTATATATCGAAATGGGCAATGTTTTTGGTATGCAAGAATTGGATGGTGTTTCTTTATGGAGGTTAATGCACTGGGTGGGCTTGGTGCAACGATAAGATTGCTGTGTAATGAAATTGTCTATCGTCGTTTGGGTGTAAGACAATGTACATTTAAGTCTCATTTAACCCCCTCTGTGCAGCAATGTAGATGTTTCATTGTGATTTGGGCGAGTTGGAATTAATAAAACAGTTCCTCCCAACATGATCACTACGATACCATTTTCACAATTGAAACTAAAAGGGGGGCTAAAGTAGTGATTGAATTATTTGTAATAATTGATCATGAAGATAATAAAGTTAAAATAGATGATAAAATAAAATTATTTTGTATATATATATATATATATATATATTGTATTTTCATTGAACAATGAGCCGTGGTGCAATGTATCCTTCCATATAAGAAGACAAAAAAAAAAAGTGGGCAGGACCCTATCCCTGTTTTACGAGGAGGGAGATGTTGAGGTCTAATAAAAGTACTTTGGGTATGATAGATGAAAAATTGAAGGGACTAAAAAAATATGAAAGATAGGTTTTAAATCCTTGAAAGAAAAAAAAAGAGGTTTTTCATTCTCTGTGTTTGATAAAAAGGATGGGAAAATGAAAAGAATAAATTTGTTATTATTTTATTTGATATGAAAAAAATAATAATAAAATATTATTGTTAATGAGATATTAAAAATATCTTTAATAGAATATGAATAAATTATTGACTTAGGGTATCTTCAGGAGAATAGTTAAAACTCTAAAATAGCTAAAATTTAACTATTTGAAGGTAAAAAATATGTTTTAACAGAAGATGTTTAGAGTAGGTAAAATATATTTTTGTTACAATGATGCTCTATATTTAGAGTATAACTGTAATATTATGTATAAATAGTTTATAAAATATTCTCTATTCTCTTATTATGGTCCACTCTTTATATTTTCCTCTATTTTTTTCTCTATGTACTTTTAATAGTTCCAACAAAATAATAAGATATGAGAAATAATATTTAAAAGTAGTTAAAATATAGAAAATTTGTTAGAATATGCATTAAAAAAGTGAATAGTCAAAATAAAAAAAATATAATTTTAAATAGGTAAAATACAAAAAAAATTTTGGAGATTCTCTTAGACGTGAATTCGTTTGGAGTAAATGGTAATTAAATATTACATAAAAATTATGGGACCCATCTTGACGAACATTGTTACCATTTTCCACCGAACAGAGGATAAAAAATGGTGGGCATGATTGCTTTTTCCTCCGTCTTCCTTTTCTAACCAAATAAAAAAATTATATTTTTTATCCACCGTTTTTCATCTATTATATTTGAAAACTGTTATATTTACTAAATTTTTTTATTAAATCTTTCATCACAAATGATACGGAAAAATTTTTGTTATCGAATATTAATAGAACTCGCTTACCTGATGATAAAAAATTATATCGCATCAATTGAGATGAAAATATAATAAAAAAAATTTAATAAGCATAACATTACCCATTCTATTTTCACTCGTGCCAAACAGGGCATAAGAAAAGCAAGGCCATGTTAGACAGTAATTGATCATGGAGACTTTAGTGTCAAACAACAGCTGCAAGTTCATCCACTGGGTCGTGGGTTGCGGCTGTCTCCCTGTCTCCTGCACTTCGTTATTCCTATCATGACAGCCCATTCATTTCCCATTTTTAATTGAACACTCATAATATACATATTTTTGTTTGGAATATTTCTTCTTTTCCTCCATCATTACATATTTCCTGAGTCACCTTATGTTAATTAAGTTTTTGAATTTTTTTTTTATGTTAATTAAATTTTTGAATTTTTTTTATGTTAATTGAGTTTCTAAACTCTTTTATTGTGTCAATTGACCTCTTTTGTATGCCCTCATTAGATTTTTTAATAAAAAGTGATGAAGTTAGAAATTAACGTAACACAAATGATTACAATAAACTACATATCTGACCCTCAAATTATAACACTTGTTAAGCCTTTGAATTTTTTTTTTTTTTGTGTCAATTAAGCCCATAAACTCTTTTATTGTGTCAATTGAGTCATTTTGTGTTATATAATCATATGAGTGACACACACTAATGGAGACAGATAGAAGGTCTTAACTGTCATAAATAGAGAGTTTAAATGTTCAATTAACACAAAAAAAAAAATTCAAAAACTTAATTCATTAAAGGTCGTATATGTAGTTTACTCTATTTCAATATCCCCAATTCTTAGAAGGATCGCAATATAACTCATAGGCACGGATATTATGAGTCTTTTCACTTACACATGTTTCAGGGAGTTGAATATTTTATTCTTATGAGCGATCAAAGTGAATATGAGTCGAGCGTAAGAATTTCGGAAAATAAAATTCGACATTGCAAGTCCAAGTCAACATTCCTGATATAAAAGTGAAAGTGAAGTGAAAACTAGCCCTAAGCAAGATCCAAAGACGTTTAAGTCTAATTTCAATCTTAATATAAAAATGAAGTTTCGTCGTCAAAAGTAGCTAGAGGAAAACATAGTGAATGAAATGAATGGGATATGGATAAATTTTGATGGTTAGACCTTAAGGCTGCACAAAAATCAAGTTGGGTGGGTAAGGATGAATATAACGGTGACTAACTCTAAAAGTAGTTCAAGTGATATCAGAGATAAAATTATAAATTTAAATATTTTGAGTTCGAATTTTAATAATTTTCTAGAATCAGACTATGAAGGATATATTCTTCATAATTACCCTAGTTTCGGCATAGATGAATTATTTTTGACCGAATCAGAAAAATAATTAGTCAAAGTGTACCAAAGATGGCAAGAATACCCCTCAGTTGAACCAAAAAAAAAAAAAAGAAAGAAAGAAAATTAACATAATGGTGACTTGTTGAATTGAGCTAGGGCAGTTTTGCCAATTAATTTTCTGGGAAGTGAAAGAAGGTGAATAATTTCTAAGTTTAAATGGGAAAAGTGTGAATACCGCCCACAGATTCATAGCTGATACACACGCAAACATCTCCATCAAAGCCTTCAGAAACCTATACACTGTTTGATAAATAAGGACTCAGTTCTGCAGACTTGCAGCATGGATAGCAATAAAAGGCTGTATATCATGTTCTGAATTTAAAAAAAAAAAAAAATACTTCGCACCATTTCGATAAATTAATTATGATCTGCCACGTTGCAGGAAAAAAGATAACTATAGAATTAATATACGCATATAATTACAATACTTCTTCAAGTATAGTGGCCCAAGAAATAAAAAATTTAGGCTTTGAATCTCAAAATTATTTTTTGTTTTTAAAAATAATTTTTAGAAGAAAAGTTGTTTGACTAGTTATTTTTTTTTCTTTTGTTTTTTGAAAACTGATAATAAAAATTGGATATATTTAGAAAATAAATTAAAGTTTTTTTGTGTGTTTTTTAAAACAATATTTTCAAAATTTAGAAAACACCATACTTCCACCACCATGTCCGCCACTCTTCCACCACCACCATCGCCCACTAGCACACTTTCATCACCACCACCACTTTTTGGCTTTTATTATTTTTTTTGTTATTGTTCAAACAAGTTTCAATATTTTCTATTTCGTAGAACTATTTTTGAAATTACATAACCATATAAGTTTTGCGACATAAAAAATAATAAAAACAATTTTTGAAAATTCTTCTCAAAAAATAGTTTTTGGATACTATATTTTGAAACACAAACCAAATAGAGCCCCGAGTTTTTTCGAATGCTTAAGGAACTACCCAACCTCAAACACGACTTAGGATCAAGTCTCACCAATTGTATGACTTGATATTTACCTTCCTTACTCTTTAGAGTAGGTTAGAGTTATTGATATATATGAAAAATAACAAGACGGCTACATCCTTCAAGTTTTAGACTGTCACATGAAGCCAATGACTTCTGTTATTTTAATTGAGCAGACCATATTGTTGATTCATTGAGCGCAATTGAAAGATTTTCCTATTTTTATCTAAAGTTCGAATCATGAAAACAATTCTTTCACATACAGAGTAAGACAACATATGTTTAACCCTCCTCCGACTTCATAGCAGAAGAATGATATTCCATGTATGCAGCAGAAGGAAAGCAAAGAACATTTGATATTAAAGCTTGCCTTCTTTAGTTGGTATAGCCAGTATTCTGTTGTCCTTTTTTCTTATAGAGAAAATAAGAGATGAGGAATCAAACTTTGAGGCGCCTACCAAGCACCACCACACCACCAAACAGGTCCCATACCACCAAGTTGGGGCTGAATAGTGTCCTCACCCTTTGTCTGCTTTTGTTGTCTTCTCTATCTTAAAAAAGTAAAGCTCTGATACCAATGGTCCAGAACATCCTTGGCCCCATACCCTAACTGGCTTCCTCTTCATGTTGTGCATTGTATGTGTTTACATTCATTATAATGCACAATATGTGTTTACATTCATTCTTTTATGTTTTAACTTTTTTGAAATTAGTCTCTTTCTTTTATTCACTTTTTCATGTAATGTGTTTCTTTTAATTGGCGCCTAACAATTTGAAGTGATAGAGGCTATTACTACTGTACACTTGAAGATGTAGGATTAATGGGTTTTACTAACTCTACCTAATAGTTTAAGGACCGGCAATGACACGTCATTTCATAAAAGTTTAACAGAAATTATGATAGTTCTGAATAGTTACATGACGTCATCATGTTAATATAATATAATCATTTAATAATAAGACAACATATGAATTAGTGGATCCCACGTAGAGTAATTATGCATGCCATTAATGTATAGTTATTTAACTATATGAGATGTATTTGCTTATATGTTGTCTTATTATTGAACGATTACATCATGTTAACACAATGACGTGGTATAACCATTAGAGCAATGCTATAAATACTTATTTGTGGATCTTATTTAAAAACTTATGGATGTGACTTCAATATAACCATTAGATTAATTATGAATTCTAATATTAGATAAATTTTTCGACCAACCCAATGATTATACATCATTAAACTCCTAAAGTTTCCAAAAAAATTCAAATAACATTTCCCTTGCACCTAATATTTACGGTGAGTCTAGGATCTTTTGCGACTTGCCAAGGCAAAAGTGAACTACGAATCACGGACAAACACAAAGCTCACAGAAAGACTGGATTCATTCGAGGTCTCATATTGTGTGGACCAAAAAAATTCTGGTTCCCAACTCCATTAATGTAGAAAACTCACTTAACTGTTCATTGGGTTCAAATGAACCTCACAAATCACAAGCCACCGTCACCAGTCCATATTTGACACACGTGAACCATCTTAGCCACCTTCACATGCACACAACAAACAAAAACACCCCTTCTCTTTATAATCATAATTCAATTACACATTCCAAATCTCTCTCTCTCTCTCTCTCTCTACCCTAAAGCTTATGAAATGGCTCATCCTCTTTCACAATCTTGCAATGTCTATTCCTCATGTTTTGCAATTCTTTGTCTAGTTTTGGCACAATCTCACATTGCTTCATCTGTTTTGTTGGTGGGTTTAAAGAACAACCACCACCATCCCCACCACGGGAGACCTATGTTACATGCCAACCAGACCTCATGTGCTCTGTTCATGGGTTCTTGGGTTCATGATGATACTTACCCCATCTACCAATCCTCTGCTTGTCCAACTATCGACCCAGAATTCAACTGTCAAATGTACGGCCGTCCTGATTCCGACTATCTCAAATACCGGTGGAAACCAGCCAACTGTGAGCTCCCCAGGTAGCAACTTTTCAATCTTTGTAAGCACTCTAGGACACTGTATCAATTAGTATTACTATCTGCCTGTCTTACTTTCAAATTATTGCTATTTTTATTAAAACGTGATTTAATTTTACGTTTTTCATTTTAAAAATGTGTTTACGAAGTATGCTTTTAATTTATATATAAAAAAAAAACATGAAATCGTGTTTTAGAAACACGATTTTACATTGAAAACCTTGGATTCAAAGAGAGGATAAGATTAGAAAACAACTGTAAATTGGTAAAATTGCGAAATTTATTGCTTTTTATCTTCTCATAACTTCTGGGTTGGTGAATTTTCTTGTGATGGTAGGTTCAATGGGCTTGATTTTCTGTTAAAACTGAAAGGAAAGACTGTGATGTTCGTGGGTGATTCACTGGGCCGTAACCAATGGGAGTCGTTGATTTGTTTGATATCAGCTGCTGTGCCGCATTCACCAATACAGATGAGCAGGGGAGATCCTCTGTCAACCTTCAAGTTCTTGGTGAGCCTTCTGATCTTGATCAGACGACTATAATGAATTCAGGAATTGGACCCCACTTAAAGGAGGCTTAGTTGGGTTTTGTTTGTTGGGGTGAAATGCAGGAATTTGGCGTGGCTGTGTCTTACTATAGAGCTCCATATCTGGTGGACATTGATGCAGTACAAGGGAAGAGAGTTCTGAAATTGGATGATATCAGAGGGAATGGGAACGCTTGGAGGGGCGTGGATGTTCTGTCGTTTAACACAGGTCACTGGTGGACTCACAAAGGATCTCTTCAAGGGTTAGCAACTATGAATCCCCCGTGTTTTCGAACTAAGTGGGATGATTACAATGCAATAAAAATTGATGAGTGATAGAATGCAGGTGGGACTACATGGAATCTGGAGGGACAATCTATGAAGATATAGATCGTTTGGTTGCTTTAGAGAGAGGGATGAGGACTTGGGCTAGATGGGTTGATACCAACATCGACAGAAGTAGAACCAGCGTTTTCTTTCAGTCCATCTCTCCCACACACTACAAGTATGTTTTAACTGTTAATCTCTCTTCTCTCAAATTATTGATTGTCCGTAGTTTTACTCTCTTTCTCTCTCTCTTTCAAATTATTGTTTGTTGACTGCCGGTTCAAAGTTCTGTAGCCTTTTTATTTCTGTGGGAATAGGACCTACACAGAAAAAAGGGAAATAATAAGACAGTGACCCATAACAGCTGTAATCACTAATTCGCGGTGCAAACTCTTGCAGAACTATGTCTCTCCCGACGGATTTTTGTCCAGTTTTAGGGGATGATGTCAAAAAAAATATTCTTTTGATATTTGATTTTTTTTATTAGTTTATATCTAATAAATTGTGTCGTATCGAATTTATATCATGTATGAATTATGTATAACTAATATATAAACAAATTATGTGATATATTTTTTCTAATTAATTTCACTAATATCCGATTCGTTTATTAATTATATACTATCGGGTCCACTCATTTACTAAGTAAATGGTATAATAAAGATTCAAGCATTCTAATTTCGTATTGTGTTAACGCGTTGTGTCATATTTTAACACTATTAGATAAAGGACTCTAATATTATACTCCATTTGTTATTAAATATCTGTCGTTTAAGGTTTTTACACAGGAATTAAGGAAGCTATTAAATAGTTCTAATATGAGTAAAAAATAATTGTACAAGATTAAAATACCTTTATTCAATACGTATTGAGATGGAAAGAAATATGAACGACGCTTAACTTCCACCTAATCTAATACATTGAAATATTAAGGGTAAATTTAGAAAAAAAAATATATTAATTATATTTTTGTTTCATTAAACGATAGATATTATGGAATAAAAAAATTATGTAAAACGACAGAAATTTAGGAACAGAAGAAGTAGAAATTTCTCTTTATTTTTTTAGTAGAAATGTTACACTTTTTTACCAAAATATTGCATTAAATCAATGTGAACTATTATATTTTAGCCCTAATTTTCCATGTTAATTTCATATACACTCGACTCAGAATTATTATATTTTAGCCCTAATCTAAGTGTGACGGCATGCAAGGTCTCACCAAGTAGAGGTATTTGAGTCAATTGAAATCCCACCATTTTTTATTAGGTGATTGGTGTGTCATCAGAGTTATTACAATTTTTTGATGAATATTTGGGATTGAATCACATTGATATAAATTAAAAATCTTAAAAATCAAATAGACACAATTAAAAGATTGATCGACACAATCACATTGTATTTTACACTTATTCTTATTCCCAAATCCGTGACAAAACCCGACCATTCTAGGTGGTGGGATGGTTCTCTAGCTAAATTTTTAAGCATCATAGCTCTGGATTTCACAATGAATTATAACAATCATCACCATGAATGACACTCGCAGCCCAAGCGACTGGAATGCCGGGGCAACCACCGCCAAAAGCTGTTACGGCGAGACAGCTCCGTCGACTATTACAACGTACCCTGGTGCATATCCAGATCAAATGAAGGTGGTTGTGGCAGTGATAAGGGACATGAACAATCCGGCCTATTTGCTCGACATAACAACGCTGTCGGCGATGAGAAAAGACGCACACCCTTCCATCTATAGCGGCGATCTGAGCCCGGTGGAAAGAGCTAACCCGGACCATTCGGCTGATTGCAGCCATTGGTGCCTTCCTGGTTTGCCTGATACTTGGAATCAACTGTTCTACACTGCTTTGCTCTACTAACTTCTACATTACTTGTAGTTCAAATATAATGGTATAGGCATTGGTATATTACTGGCAGGATAGGCTACATATTTTCCCCCTCTCTCAAAGTAATGCATTTGGGAGGTGTATTGTTTAGTATGTGTAACTTGATTAACTTGTTTTCCTGCCAAATATTCTAATTTGATGAACTTCTTCATTTCTATTTAGCCTTGTGAATAGACCCATATTATGGTTTGAATCCAATGCGACTCTAAAAATAGTTAGACGTGGATTAGTTTTTTGACCAATTATTTTATGAATTTAAATTCAAATTCATTAGGGCCATATATATAATTTACTCTTTAATCAAATTAAATCTAACTCTAAATTCGACTTGTTAGCAGTTTCACTAAATGATGATCATCGACGACAATGGCCTAATTAATCCAAGTGATACCACTTGCCTTTTTCCTCATTGAAAGTCAGGTTGAAGCCCCATTGTTCTATGGAAAAATGGAAGGATGCGGTAGATTATAAATTTCCTACATCACATAAGATCAATAATTAATTAAAAGACACAATTGTAAATAAGCATATTGCGATGGGGTAGCTCCCCAAACCTCCCATGGTAACTGCTTGCCAGCACCAGGCGAAACCTAAAATCAGAGATAAAGAAAAGTAAGAGAAATGAAAGAAGCTCAAAAAAACCTCTTATGTGTTATTTTTAGTTATTGAAGTACAAACGTATGAGCCCTTTGGAAAAGTAGTAAATTTTTAGCAAGTGAACGAACGTTCATGGGTTGCTGGAAGTATGAGCCCTTCCCCGTAGTCCGCAAAAGCATAGGGAAAATGACTGTGTGGATTGAAAGGATTGCACCAAAGAATTAATCTGAAATGGCACACATCGTCTATGTGCAATTATTAAAAAGATAAAATATGGCCTTAATTTTACCATCTATATTAAAGTTCATGTTTTGTGTGAGACCTTTATATGGACCTCACGGCCCACAGCCCACAGGCCAACAACTGTAGTATGCCCAAGTTTAACCTAGCGAGACTTACCGAAAAAAAAGGTTTAGCCTAGTGAGTCCAACCCAATGCAGTACAATCTCATCCACTCATTTCAAAAACCGCATATGAACCGTTGGATCTCTCCCCCTCTCTCCCTATAAAACTCGAAAGGAATCCGCCGTTCAGCTGAACTATTCTCTCTTACGAGGGGTTGAAAATTAGGGCTTAGCGTTTCCCCGTGTTCTCTGATATTCTTCAGCGACTATCTCTTTGCATCTCAGCGGCGTTCTATTAATTTCCATCATCTGTGTATTAGATCTCTCTCGATTTCCATTTTCCTTTTGGTATATGATTTTTTTTCACTGTTCTCAGATCTGTTCAATAAACGTGTTCAAACACATGGCTTCACTATCTGGTCGTCAGAATTGATATCAGTTTCTGAGCGACTCGTTCCCTTGAAGCAAAATGGATTGTGCTGCCTTTTTTTTTCTACATCTCCTTCGACAATCTTTCTTTTTGCGATTGGAGAACACTGAGGTAGCTATATGTTCTCTGTATATCAATTTGAATATAAATTGCATATGTTTATATATGTATATATCTATCTATATGGGAGTTTATTTAACAACGATGATGAGCCTTTACAGACCTGTAATGATTTGCGAAAATGATCGCAATTCTTTAAGAACATCTAAGGGACTGAGTTGATTTAGATCTGTTGTTGATACCTGTATGATAATTCAATTTCTCATCTTATTTTTTTTATTTTTTGGTTCTTAGAGTTGAGTTATTTATTCTATTATTTATTTCAGTTGCTTTTATATTAAGGGCTTTACTTGATTTGATTGTAATTGCTACTCGCATTATGGTGTGATTTGGCAATTATTGAGGTGAAGCTAGATCATTGTTCCTCTCGCTATCCAGTGCAACTTGTTTTTATGGTGCGTTTGGACGTTGGGGAACTATATTTTCCAATCTACACTAGTGATGAATCCTTGATGTTATTTTTCGTGAGTTTATTGTTGTTATTAGGACCCAATTGTTGGTCAGTGGGTAATAGCCATCGGCCCGGGTTTGAACTTCTCCCTTTGTTGACAAAAACAAACCGAAGTGTTGGGGTTTATTGCATGCCCATCTATTTTTCGACTTGAAAGCAAAAATTATTTCAATAGGATGAGGAGAAAAGTTTACCAGGACTGATTTCTGGGTGTTTTGTTTCGAATAGATTGATTAATAACTACTGTTGAACAATGGAGAACCAGACAAACTGATTTTCCCCCGCCCGTTTTAGTTTTTATAGATAAAATCAACTATAGTAAATACTACAAAAATATTTCGGAATATTCGGTATAAGTATTACCTTTTTGTCAAAAGACTATTGTTATAAACTATCGAGTGAACAAGTAACAAATTACTTTAGCTTAGCCGAGAATGAACAGAGTGAGGTGGTTCTGCGGGATTAATCAAGCAATCTTCCAAAACGAAATAGCCTCGTTGACGCAAATGAGTATCTTACAAAAAATAATTTACTTGTTTTTTGGGCTAAATTAAAGGAATGATATGCTCATTAAAAGATTGTTTTTAGATACTTGATATCGACTTAAAAGTATGCACATGAAGTTGCAAGATTTTAAACAAAAAATAATTTACTTGTTTTTTGGTATAAATTAAAGGAACGATATGATCATTAAAAGATTGTTTTCAAATGCTTGACATTGACATAAATGGATGCACATGGAGCACAAGAAGTTACAAGATTTTAAAAAAATGTTAGTAATTATAATTTGACACTATTTAAAATCAGTTCACAATTGATATTATGTGAATAAATAATTACTATAAAGATACGTTAGAGAAAATGTTTTTTATATTTCATATCTCTAATGTGCAAAATATTGTTTTTGTTTCTTTATTTTCAACCAATCGATTGTATAGCATTCTCTAATGTGAATGTCACCTTATACTAAGGTTGTGGTAATAAATGTGGACATGCTAACAGTGTGACATGAAAGGACATTACACTCATATTTGTCGTCTAAATTTTTAGTGGATCTTTATTGGGCATTCTTAAAAGAAGTTTGTACTCTTGAAGAGAAAAATATACAATTGAAGTTCCATAAAAAAAATTGGCACTCCTGAAGGGGCCACATCCATGAAGGGGCCACATCCACAAAGTAGGTAACAAAAATAATGTTCAAAATTAGTAAATTAAAATCTCTTAAAAGAGAAAACTCCTCAAGAGGCATCTCTTACAGAAGTAAATTTAAATAATGAGATTTTAAGAAGTTATGTAAGTACAAAAGAAAAATTAAACTTTTTTTAGCTGTTAGATGGAGGAAATTTGTCAGTTTAAGAATAACGTGAACTTTCTTACACACTTGAAATATAGTTGAAACATAGGTTCAAAAAATTCAACTCTTGAAGGGCAACTGTATACAACTTAAGAAAAAATTGTTGAAGTAGAAAATGAAATACATCTACATTATCTCAAATAATAACACTTGAAAAGGAAAATCCCTAAAGAGATAGAAACTTCTAAAAAGATATAGATATTTGAAAATGAATAAATTTCTATTGAATATGCATATACAGATGAGGTGTGGCATCGCACAAAAATTATCATCAATAATACAGTAGTTACTAAAATTTTGAATGATGATGATTTTGAACCATGCACAATAGATAAATACTGACATCAACATAATTGACAAAATGACAAGAAACAATTCAAACGAAATTGGATTCTCTTGTAAAATGTGGAATGTTTGTACCTGTAGTCTTAACACTTAATGATGTAAAATTTATTGGTTATAAATGTATTTTTCTGAGAAAAATGAGATCACAAAATACAAAATGTGTCTAGTAACGCAAGGGTTCCTATAGAGACCCTTAATTGATTGCTTAGTCGATTACGAAAAAATATACTCATTAATAATTGATATAATTATATTTCATGAGGTGTATTAACCTAGTAGTCTTAAAAAAACTTGACATACGTCTTTTGAACGTTATTATTACATATTTGTATGAAAAGTTAGATACTGATATTTATATGAAAGTCTATGAAAGATTGAAATTACCTAAACCAAATACATCAAAACCATGAAAAATGTACTCAATTAAGTTAAGAGAATGATCTTTATGTGGTAAATTGGGTTGAGCCCGATTATTAAATCGAATTGAACCTAAATATAAATATATTTAATTACAGTTAATATTTATCTTCACTCTTTAAAGTACAGACTCTCACTTCACTTCAAATTTTCACCCTTGCGCTTCTATCACTCTTAGATCCCTCTCCCACTTGTCATTCTTCCTTCTCTTAGCCTTCCTCTCTCAATCGTCACTCGTCTCAAACTTTCAACCTTCCTCACCCACTCATCACTCCTCCCTCTCTCATTTCCTCACTCTTCATCTGCGCCTCACGTTTCATATCAGATCACTTGAAAAAATCAAATCTACACTTTAAAAAATTAAATCTATACTTCAAAAAATCAATCAGAATTAAGTAACTCAAATTTAATCCGAGCCTGCCTGAATTAAATTCGGTCTGTACTCAGGCTGAGGTAGGGTTAGGGTTAAAGATTATATACTTAAAGTTGGACTAGAGTTGACCTCTCAACCCGTTCGAATTGCACCCCTACATAAAATGACTTAATGACTTAAAAGTTTAAGCTGTATACTTAAAATTAATAAGTTTTCTAATGTTTACCCACAACTATTTTTTTTTTGGAAAATATTATATAATTTAAATAAAATTTAAAAGTTAAAACTCAAATGTATATCATTCATTGGCAAAGTGCGGGATGAGTGGGTCCCACTAAAAAAATTGACAGGCCCACTCATTTAAGAGATGATATGTATTTGAATTGTAATTTTTTGGATTTCATTTAAGTTTGAGCAATGCTATTGGGATCCAATTTACTGACTTAATTCAGTAGAACCTTTGAATTCACTGTAGACTTTATAAAACATTGAAACTTAGTGTTAATCAAATGATTCCTATGAAATCACATCATTCTATCAACAAATTAAATTAAATTTTTAAATTCAAAGAGTATTACTCTTTAAGTTTTATAACATTACTATTTTTTCATTATCAATCGAACACAATACGAATTAAAAAAAAAAAAAAAAGTCTTTTGGTCACCATGGTCTTACTCTCTAGTCCCTAACAAAAAAATACTCGTTATTAGGTGATTGGGTTGGCTGGTTGGTCATTCATGGGAAGTGAGAACACTAGTATTATATTTTGATATCAACACGCAACGGTCATCCCAACGGTAACTTCTGGGCAGCTTCCCTTCCCATCCCCGTCAGGATATCTTCTGTTTAACGCTCCACCTGTCTATCTCTCACAATCTTCACGTATAAGAAACAGGTAAACAATAATCACTCAATTGGAGTCAAACACATTAACTCACCACATAACGTGTTTGACCATTAATCCCCCAATGCCATATTGAAATTTTGAATACCATTCACACCCTTGGCAAAACTTGATTGGGCCACCCCCGAATTCTAAAGATGCAATTACACTTTTGTCCAGTTTTGATCATTTTTACAAATGAAAAAATAGAGTAAGTTATAATTTATTTCTTAAACTATTATCTTTATTTTACTTTGTACTTTTAACTATAATTTTTTTTTCACATTTTACTTTAATGTATTAATTTTATTTTATATCACTCTAATAGATAATAACAAATTTAAAAATCTATCAAATGATTGAAGGAAACCCCAAAGAGATTCCTATCAAATGCGAGTAAATATTGTCCGTAACGGTTACCAACCAATAATAAAATCTTAAATAAGAAAAGTGAATTTCACTTGGATTTACATGGCACGAGAGTGAGAAGTTGTTTTCTTACATGACCGGTTGTTTATTGATTTTTGTGGGGTTTATGTGCGTATTTATTTTAATATTATTAGTTGGTGATATTACATCAAATTACCACGTGATATCATTATTATAATGAATATTTTCTCGTCAAATACCTAGAACCACTTTATTTTACTCTTTTTTTTTAACCAAATGGTTGTTAGGAAGAAAATAAGGTCGGCTAGAGGAAGAAAATTTGAAACTGCGGAAGGGCAAAGTTATGGATAAATATTATTTTTTTTTATTTTTGACTGTACATGTGCTATAGACAATTATTTATTGACAATACAGATCTTTCACGTGCCCATTTATAGTAAAAAAATTGATAGTAGTCATCTATTGGAGTGATATGAAACAAAATTAATAATTTAAAATAAAATCCGAGAAATTTTATAATTGGGGATGTAAAGTGAAACAAATGTAATAGTTCAAGGGAAAAAATATAATTTATCAAAAAAAAAAATAATATGGTCCTTCATAGAGAACAATAATCAAACACAATTCATCTAATCAACCCGAATAATATTAAAACAATATTTTGTTGAGTTGAGTTGTAAAATACGTATAATTAGTAAAAATTTGGGTTATAGACTATGGTTACTGAATAAGTAATTTTTTTATATCATACAGTTTTCATCCAATCATAATGTGACAAGTGCAAAATTTTACTATTTACTATTATTTTTATGATTAACAACTACAAATAGTCCAAATTAAGATCTATGATTCAAAAATATTTTTTTGGTATGTCATATATGATGAACTATCTCGTGTCAAAAATGTGAAACGTGAATAGGATATATCTTTTTCATCTAGATAAATTGTAAAATTTCAAATGCATTACTCAACTCTCCCCAATAGGATCATTATGAATTATTCTAGAAAGAATTACAAAATGTTAGACGAATGAATCGTGGTATCGATTAATTGAAAAATGCATGTCCATTTTTTCGCTTTGGAAAAGATTATAGTACCAAAAATTAATTTTTCATTATCACCTCAAAAATTATATATCGATTATAAATCATTTTTGAGCTATTTATAACCAATGATCTTAAAATTAAAGAATAAAATAAAGTAAAAATAATAAATACTTATCATACCATGTGGTTAGATATAAAAAAGTAATAATATTAAAAAATAAATTTACGATATTGTTGTTTAGGGTTCATCTATGATATTAAAAAATAATTTTTCGGTATCTTACCTATTATTTTTCACCAATCAAAACATGTCATATGAAAAGTTTTTAAATTTTATTACTTTTAAGATCGATAATTGATCACAAACTAATCAATACAAAATCAATGGTTCATAATAAATTTCGATACTATTAGGAGTATCGAATATGATACGACTCGTTAACATAACATAAAATTAAAGAGTTTAAATTTTTCTTGAATCTTCTGTTTTGTAAATTTGTGGATTCGACCCAACACAATTAATAAACAAATCGAATATGTGTAAAATTATTTAAAAGAAAATATATAACACGACTCATGTATATACATACCGATTATATATGATACGAATTCGATATGATACTACTTATTGCTACAAATTAATAAATAAATGAAGTACGAATGAAATACCTTTTTAACATCTTATAGTTTTGGAGGGCAAATTAGACTTTTTGGAGTGCCCAAAAAACTGGTCAAAAAAGTGAGAGAAAACCACGCTCTTTTAACACGGATGGGGCCAAAGACTCCGCTTTGACTCCCACTAAAGAAACGCACAACCCAACCTTCCTCTTCTCTCCCTATATAAATACCCCCCCTTCCCTTCCTCTGCTTCTCTCACCTCCGCAATCAAACACAATAACAAATCAGAAAAATAACTCGAACGTTAGTTAGTGTTACAGAACAACAAGAATGTCTTGTACCGTTGCGATTGCGAACTCACCTGTCTTCTCTCCGTCTAGGGTTTCCTCTTCTCGCTTCTGCAAATCGTCTTCGTCACCAGAAACCATAACCTCCCTAGCCCGCTCGCCTTCTTCTTCCTCTTTATCGTCTTCTCCCTCGTCACCGTTGAGACTTATTCGGCTTCAGAAATTACCCAGTGGACTCATTAGGGCTTCTAACGACGTCCCATCTTCTTCGGTTACGAATTCGACATCGCCGACGCTGTTGAAGAGGAAGAGACCGGCGAGGCTGGATATTCCGATTGTGTCGACGGGCTTTGGTAATTGTCCAGCGACGCCGGCGGTGACGGAAGGGAGGAGGGAGATGGAGATCGATGGAGATGGGTATTCGGTGTATTGTAAGAAAGGAAGGAGAGAGGCCATGGAAGATCGTTACTCGGCTGTAGTCGGTCTTCAAGGAGATTCTAAACAGGTATTCTAAATTAGGGCTTTAATTTTCTATAAACTGCCAGAAATCTCTTTGTGTACGTAGTTGCTTGGATTTAATGATAGAATTGCTCGGAAGTAAAACTTTTTTGGTGTGAATGTGAACGTAAGTCGAGCTTTTATTTGTTCAGACAGAAATTTTTCTATAGAAGAATTGTTCTCAATAAAAAAAAACTACTTCAAGTTTGATTGTTGAGGGATAGGTCTTGATAGTTTTTTCCCCTAATAATGAATTTTCCGCCGCTTAGGTCTGAACCTGGCAGAAAGTGAAGGTATATGATGATAAATTTTCAGAACCTAACGATAAAATAGAGAACCCAAATGAAACCCCCACAGAAAAGTTTTAGTGGAAATTATTTGTTACTGATCAAGTACTTTCCCTCATTTGACAAAATAGCAAAGTGGTTATTTCAGGACTTCGGTAACTATTAGTTGCTAAGAGTCTCCATTCGTCATTTATGGAATAATTAGAGGAGAAATTGAAAAGAAAAAAGAATGATTTGGATAGAATTATAAATTGACATGTTTTATAATTGTAGGCTTTTTTTGGTGTATTTGATGGGCATGGAGGAGCACTAGCTGCTGAGTTTGCAGCAGAGAAGTTAGACAAGTACATTTTAGATGAAGTGGGCAAAAGAGATGAAAATGAAATTGAGGAGGCTGTTAAAGATGGTTACCTGAAGACAGATACAGAGTTTCTAAAAGGGGAGCTTCGCGGTGGGTCCTGCTGTGTGACGGTATTGATCAGAAGGGGCAATCTTGTGGTATCTAATGCTGGTGATTGTCGTGCTGTTATGAGCAGAGGAGGAATTGCTGAGGCCCTTACATCAGATCACCGGCCCTCAAGGAATGACGAAAAGGATAGAATTGAGACCCTGGTAAGTTGCTAGTCTTTGCAATTGTTCGTTACCCCAGCTGTTAAGTTGAAAGTTGATAGCATCAGAATTGCACTAATTGGTTGTGATATAATATTGTAGGGTGGCTATGTCGATTGTTGCTCGAATGGTGTTTGGAGAATTCAGGGTTCTCTGGCTGTGTCCAGAGGGATTGGAGATCGGCACCTTAAACAGTGGATAACAGCTGAGCCCGAAACAAAAATCCTTAGAATCAAATCTGATCACGAGTTCTTAATACTTGCTTCTGATGGCTTATGGGATAAGGTAACACCACAAGTTAGTCTTTTTATATTTTTGCTATCGTTTCTATTTCCCTATATCTTCTTAAGAGCTAGAGAATTTCCAAAGGAATTTATAATGGCTCAACTCCTTTTCCCGTTTGTCTTACAGGTCACTAATCAGGAAGCAGTAGATATTACTCGTGCTATGTGCTTAGGCATCGATAAGCCAGAACCACTATCAGCCTGTAAAAAGCTTGTTGACCTCTCTGTTTCGCGAGGCTCTGCTGATGATATAAGTGTGATGCTAATTCAATTGGGACGCTTTTATTGATCGTCTCACCATTGCTAAAGAAAAAACAATCTAACAACAGCGTGAAGGAAACTTTTTTTTTCCCAATCCCACCTGCAAACTTTTTTCTCCGAAGGAGGTTGCAACAGTAGGAAGCATTGGGCATGGCTCTCTTGTTACAATTTTTCTTCTTATTACTATTTATTTATCTACTATTGTAGTAGTGTTTAGGACACACAAACTTTGATGGAAATGCTATTTACAGTTTAGATGATGACGAAAGGCGGTGTAGAGCAATTATTTGACCATTTTTGTAGGATTGTTGCATCTGTAAATTTAAAGAAAATGACAGTTAGATATTTTTTCATATCTTTCTTTTTCAATTTCATTGTTTGTTCATAGAGCTTTACGACCCCGAGTGTAATTTGCATATCGGTTGCTTATACTCAGTAGAGCTTTCTGCAAGTTTGATTGGTGTGTCGTGCAGGATTGGATGGTAAATGAGTTTGTTTTCGGAGGATGTGATAGATTAATGAGATGCATCTGCCTTATCTTGTGCTTTTGAATTCCATACAAGACACCGATGGCCTCTGGCAATTCATCTGTGTGTCCTTAAACAGACTGCCTATTCAACAAATAGGTTATTTGCTTCTTGTTATCAAATTGACGATATCATATTTGACCGGACTTTAGACAGGTGTCAACGAATGTGGATATTTATAGTTGTCAAATTGCGTATGATTTGCTAAGAGGAGGCGCCAAGCAAATAGGATACAAATAGGATACGGAGGACCGAGTATGTTTTCGGAACCTTGTATTAAATGAAGTATGACAGTTCATTAATGGAGATCATGTTGGTATGGTAGGTCATTAATAGCTGTTTGATCTTCAAAGTATATGAAAGCAATCATCATTACAATGTATTAATAGTTACTAGACTGAGAGGGAGCCCTCAAGAGCTCCCGAGGAGATCTAGTGCTTTGTCATAAAGGCCTGGCTATGGACTCTAAGTACCTATGTAGAGCGCTCGATAGCCAGGGATTGAATCATAAATGCTGGCATGGTCCCAAAAGAATTGCCCTGGGCACTTATCATTAATGAGACATGACAAAATAACACTTATTATGCTAGAATGCGAATCTAGGCTATTAAATTTTAGGTTGGGACTCTGGATGAGAGGCATCATTGCGAATTTAGGTATTCTAAAAATTAAACTCAAGTAGTAATCTGAATTCAGAATATACCGTGGGCTTTCACTCAAATGTCTACTGATTTAAGTATCGAAGGGAATAACCTGAGTATACACCCAACCTCTTTCTTGATTTTTCTTCCATCTCAGGTTCACAATTCAGAATCATTCAAAAGATCACTATCTCAACTCATTGTAAGAATTCTCCCGTGCAATCTTAATGGGAGTTCGTGATGGTGTTAATTTTATAGTTTTATGTGGTGGTTGATTTTACAGCTGTCTATGGTGGTTGATTTTAATGTGGTGGTTTGTTATTGTTAATTTTTTTATGAACACCCCAGAGAAATGTGGTTTGTCATGGTTCATTTTAAGCTTGACTAGTGGTAGAGAGAGTGGGTTCAGAAGGGTTCCATTGATGGTGGAGATGGTCTCAATTTGTTGTGGAAGCACTGGGTTCTATAGCGTAAGATTGGCAGGTAAGGTGATATTCAATGCTTGGAGGCGGAATGGTGGTCTGAAGGATAGGGCTCTCAATGGATTGTTTCGTGTCTGGTTTGTATCATCTATAATATATGAGGGGAGGGTAGTCAAGGGCGGTTGAAAAATTTTCCATTGTGTTTATTTTTGTTTTACTTGTCTATTTTACATACCATTTCAGCAAATAAAAAATTTACTATGATACACTAAAACATAAAACCAACTCCTCCCAAAAACAAAAACAAAAACAAAAACAAAAAAAAGAGGAGAAAAAAAGATAGTTTGCCCTGTATTACTTATTTAATAGAATATGAAGTTTAGTGTTACCAACTAGAACAATATTGCAAGAGAGAGACAAACATTCTTTGAATTACATTTCAGAAACTATTTTTTATTTTCAAAAACAGTTTTTAGAAGATAAGAGCTGTTTGACCAATTGTTTTTTGTTTTTATTTTTTGAAAACTAAGAATAAAAACTGTATATATAGATTTAAAGAACAAGTTAGAGTTGTTTTGTGTGTTTTTAGAAATAATCTTTTTAAAATTTACAAAAACACCACCACAACCACAACCACATTTCTGCTTTCATTGTTTTCTGATTTATTGTCCAAACAAGTTTTAATATTTTTTATTACATAAAACTGTTTGTGAAATCATATAACCAAACAAATTTCGCGATACAAAAATACCAAAAATAATTTTCTCAAACTCTTCTCAAAAACAATTTTTAAATGCTATTTTTTGAGACGTAAACCAAACAACACCAAAGACTCCAAAAAAAAACAGATCAAGATTCAGGTGTTGGGCTGGGCCGTCGATGTCTGCCGACATCCTGCCCTCTCTCCCCAACCAATTTGATTTGGTCTGTGTTCATGCCTCAAGGATCATGTGTATTCGTATCTTCAAGCTTATCATTCTCTATTACAAGTACAAAAGAACTAAATGATAAAAGAATATTAATCAAGTAACATGATATGCTTGTCTAAACCAGACCCCTTTGTGCCAATACTAATCGAGTTTGAACCAATCACCAGCGGGTGCACATGGTCCGACCAAACATATTGTCTCTGTCTCATCCCACATCACACGTTCTTAGCAGTTCTGTGACCTTTCTTTCATGGGAGAGGCAAGTTTGGCTCTTTGGCCCTTCCTAAGTTACTACCAGGTTGTATGTTTGGTTTTTGATGTTTAAGCCTGTCAAACTTTAGGCATCCATGCTGTATATTTGATCCACTTATGGGCCCACGCATGTACCTTTTTTGAAAAGAGAAAAATATATATAACAAGAAATTATCTCAATCAACCACGCATAAACTCAAAATTTATCTAATTAGGAAGACTTAAACTCGGCACATGGAAGTTTATGTCGCACTCCTTGTTTGATCATTGAATCGATGTGCTTACCATATAAACAATTTTAAACTTTAAATTAGTTGCATGCGAGTATAGTTAACATTTATTTATGCATTGTATGTATGAATCTTGTGCACTCTTAAACATGTCACAAATGAGAGAATAATGGGATCCCGATAGTGTCATAAATTAATTTTTATTATGAATTAATTATGAATCATATGCTTCAAACTAACTTTTATGATGATATCATATTAAAGTTAATCTTGATAAATAATATACAATTAAAATTTTAATATTAACGATGATATGTTGAATAATCCTCATAAATAACATTTCTGATTGTGTCTCTATTTGACCCTTCTTATCGTGAAATCCTGACTCCGTCTGTGTTCTTAAAGGTCACTGTCTCAAGTCGTGGTAAGATCTTTAAGCTCACAATGACATGATCGTGTACTTGAATATGAGAATGAATTTTTTACTAAGCATCGCCCACAATGAAAATATCAACAAGTCTCTAGAGACTTTTTTTTTTTTTTAATTCACATTAGTTTTTTTACACGTGAAATAAGAAATATGGGTTAAATTACTTTAATGGAGATAGATATTAGGATGTGAAATGGAACATGGTGCAACTTGGAGTGTTGTTGACTATGTTTAGGATCACATATATGTCGTGGTTGTTAGTGAAGAATGCTTTCACTCAAAATCTCGCTGCTTGAGAAGACCCCTCGCTCCTAAGGATTCCTAGTTAGTGGCAAGTTCTTTTTTTTCGATAGATATGTTAATTTTTAATTTGTACCATTAAATATTAAAAATAATAATTTATACCCTCAATATTATAAATTGGTAACAATATGGACCTCGTTTATACTGTTGTTTAGTGTTTTTTTTTTTCCATAAATTAAAGCACACGTGAGTTGTAAGTGTTTCAGGCATAGGTTTATATGTAAATTCACAGATTTTTGGCACTCCATTTGAGTTGCACATAACAGGGTTAGCATCTATATTTTGATATATAAAACGGCACCAAAATGATCGCAAACGAAGATCTGCAGCGATTAACTTATTTCATCTATATATTCAAAACACTTGCACATCACATGCTTCAATTTATAACGAAAAATTGAACGACGGTCTGAATTATGTCTACATTATTATCAATTCATAACATTGAAGGTATAAAATAAAATTTTTAATATTTAAAAATACGAATTAAAAATAAAAATATCTTTCTGAATACAAAAAAAAAATTTACACTGTATCATATTAAATGCAACTAGTTGAAGGGTGGGTGGTTATGGCTACACATGTTCATAAAATGCAGCCAAAAACTGTGACGGTGAGGTCTGCGTGTCAGGCTCCATAAAGTGGAACGTTTTGGTCATGCACATTGTATTGTCGGCTGTCAGATTCAACTTGCCTATTTTTGCGAGGGTTTGTCTTGCAACACCAAGAACAAAACCCACATGCATTTCCTGCGATCAAAACTAACTAAACTAGCAAAGGTTAACCTGTCAAATATAAAATATATATATTTTTTTTAATAAAGAGGTAAAAGTGTTTCGATTAATTCACGTACATTTCGACTAATTTATTTCTTAATTTAATAAAAAAACACCCACCCACAACCTCTCCTTTCTTACTAAGCCTATGTTTAGGATTTTTTTTTTGTGGTCATTCATAAAACAGACTTATAAAAAATATATTACAACAAAAAAGTAAGCAACAGGAACTAACCGATGCCCACACGAACATCCATTAATACGATACAAAATTAGTTGGTATTGTTGGATTTTTTTTGTGGAGTCTAGTTTTTTGTTGATCTGGATGATGACCCGATTAGAAATAATATTGTGTGGTTTTACTGAGAAATTTTTTTAAGCTTAGTCTATGGAGCGAAGACTTTGACATATAAAAACTGTTATTTTGGTGATTAGGGTTAGATTGGTGTTGTACAGCCGCCCTCTGTATTTCTTCTTCTCAATAGCGAAATCCTTGTAGCTTCGTGGACGTAAGTAAATTATCGAATCACGTAAATACTGTCTTTTATGTGTGATTATTTTTTCTTTAACGTGTGTTTTCTCTACTGTTATTCCTCACAAATTTGAGAATTTCGTGCTAATTTTTTAACCAGTACAAACTTGTGAATCTCACATGATACAACAATTGTTAAATAATTTTGTTTGCTAATATTGATTTAGTTTGAAGTTATTAGATATGAATTTAACGTGACAAATATAAGTAATGATTAGAAAATCTGAATTTTCTTAACCGTAATCTCTGATCACCCCCCCCTTCCCCCTAATTAAGGTCACACCAAATGAAGAAGAGAAGGTTATCATGATGACGAACGTCGCCAAGTTGCTTTGTTTATATAAGCCAGATAAACATAACATTTGCTTTACCGGGCAAAAAAAGGTCAGCTTTTTTTTTTTAGGGGTCGTAAATGAAAAAAGTTTAGAATCTGGGGATCATAGTCATCTTTTAATCTGGC